ACTCAGGGGGTGGAATACTTATCTAATCAAAATATATTACTGTTACATTTTCTTCCACTTTGACATTACAGTATTTTCTGTAGATCGTTGACAAAAAATGACTTTTAAATCCATTTTAATCCCACTTTGTAACACAACAACGTGAAAAAGTCAAGGGGTGTGAATACTTTCTGAAGGCACTGTAGTTGCAAACTTTACTGGAGTTGCTAGCTGGCTAACTGTTTTCATCTTGAATGTTGAGTTTACTATTGCAATCTTTTAATGGCACATTTATTTTTTATTCAACCCTGCTATAGTTGCTGAGGGTCGACACTCCAAGCAAGTGTTTGCACTGGAAGACATCAAGCAGATAACGGCACTACCATTGCACCACAGTAGGCGGCCTATATTGTTGAACATGTCTATGTACATTAGAATTACATTTTACTGCTGTAAAGTTCATCGCTGACTCCAATTTTTATAATACAGTAGAGTAGCCCAAATGAGAATCCCCTCTGCGAGTTCAACGAGTTCAACAAGGCTTCTGTTTTCGGTGAACATGTTGCCAGAGTAACAATTTCAGTTGAATGATTTGAATGAACATTCCAAAATGTTACTGTGAAACAGCAAACAGCTACTTTTTGTAAGGATTACTGTGGCTTTTTAGTGACAATATTCAAACTGAAAATGACATCGCTATTCCTACTAAATATAGTAGAAAGTCTACATGTCCACTTGATTAGTTTTAGCGGCAGTTTAGACCCGAAACAGACACTTACTTTCGCTGCACACTTCCTTCTCAGACTGTTAGCTAAATTTAGCGAACGGTTGCGGCTAACACAAAACAAATTAACTAACATTAGCCGATGCTCACAAACTATTTCCCTTGTTGAACGCTGGACCCCTGCAAGGTCAGGGATCCCCCCCCTAAAATAAAATTGAATGTGTTAGCCAGACAGCCACTCACAAAGTATATATAGACTACTATCGCTGTCCATGGTGCTGAAATGTCTATGCGGCTGCCTATCGAAACAGTGATAGGCTTTCTGTGGTGCCAGGGTATGTAGCATGTAGCTTTGCTTTCGCTAATGGATAGCCTAAATGTTTATTGGTATAGGCTTATTTGGTCTTCATTTTCTCATGTTAAGCCTAACATTTCACAATGCTATACATGGTGTCACAGGGCGTCCATTTAGACTGCTGGGTGGCAGCAATTATGTAATTACTTGCTCAGTAATTAAAGTTGGAAATTTAAACATTGCAGATTGTAAAATAAATGTCTGATACAACTAATCAACACCCAATATATATTTTTAAAAATATACAACTGTCCTGCATAGCCTACCTGAACCTGCATGACATGAGCTGTCCTTGCGCTCTCTCCCAGCTTGGCTAGAAAGTTATGCATAAAACCAGTCTTTTAATGCCAATCTCTCTCTTTATCTATGTAGAGGCTTATAGTAGCTACAGTATGTAACTGACTGCATCGCCTTCCATTTTTGTGTGCAAATGTTTTCACCATGGCCTGTAAGTCCAGGTTGCGGGCCCTGCTGTTTTTCTGTACTGAGTATTGACAACCCAGTCATCCCTGGGACATTATATGACCATTGTGCTGCACACAATTGTTGATATTGCAACCACACAACTCAAACGCTGGTTCACCAGTATGAACAAAATCATAAACTGCTTTTTTTTGTTTGAGCCGTCAATAACTGTTGTCCGTTCAAGATGATAATCTGTTTATTGGCTGTCCAGTATCCAGACGACATGTCCCAGAGCTTCCTATACAATTAATCTCTTTCCGTAACATGTCGAAGCCGGCAATTAAGGAGAATGCAAGAGGCTCGATTAAAGATGTTAACTGCTATATTTGAAGCACCACTCCCTTTTCTGCCCAGTTTCCCTGTAACTGTAGCTTCTGCAGAGAGATTGTTTTCTAAACTAAAATGTAGAGAACTCCATAAGAAGCATTAGGCTCTCGGTCTGATATGCGCTTTTGAACATCTGAGTAACCTCCAGTCATTGCACTGGCGCCGTTGTAGCCTTGACCATGGCATTTGTTCACCGATATCCCCTTACTTTCAATCAGTTCAATTATTATAGGCACTTTGATCAGTCACATTCTTGAAGCCCAATAAACAAATACTTAGCTTCCTATATGGAAATTAAAAAGGTTTATGAATGACTTTTTGGAAGTTACTGTCAAAATTATTTTATTTAATAAATTAAAAAATAGACATTGATGTCAGACAAGCACATGGGCCTCCAGAGCTAGTGTGCCCCCCGCCTGGTGTGGGCTGTGTGGTGTCCGGTATGCCAGTGGACTGATACTGATCGAAGGGTGGCCAGCCCAGCGGCCACTTTGAGAACTCTTAAGCTCCGTTTCCATTGGCACTTTGATGTCAACCCAGGTTAGTGTCACGACTTCCGCCGAGGCTGCCTCCCCTCCTTGTTCGGGCAGGCTTCGGCGTTCGTCGTCACCGGCTTACTAGCCACTGCCGCTCCATAATTCATCATTCCATTTGTCTTGTATTGTCAATTACACACACCTGGTTCTTATCCCCTCATTAGTCTGTGTATAAGTGTTCCCTCTGCCCCCCTTCTCCTTCTGGGTGATTGTTTATTTGTGAGAGTAGTGTAACTTGGTGGAGCTACTCGTACCTTGTTATTGCCGGGGTAGATATTTCCCCTGTGCCTGTTATTGTTGGAGCTACCGTTACCTTGTATTGCCAGGGTAGATTTTCCCTTGTGCCTGTTTCGTTTGTCGCTATCCAGCGCTATTTGTGTACGACGGAATAAACTCTGCATTCGGTGATTACCCTCCTGCGCCTGACTCCTTCTATCACATTCATCACAGTTAGGCTAGCCTTGGTGGGCTAGCTCGAGTTGCATTTCCACTGCCTCCAGAAATTAGAAATTATGTAATGTTGCTAGGTAGCCAATATGTGACGGTGCAGCTGGTTTAGATAATGTTGCTAGCTAGCAAGATGTTGAAGAATCTAATTCACCCTCACCATGCTGTAACTAACGTTACCCAATACTCCTGCCAGTGCCAGCCATATATTTAGCTTGCTAACGTTAGCTAGCTAGCTAAATGGTTAGCATAGTCCCTAGCATAACAGGTTCATTCCTACCTTGCTTGCCATGGCATTGGCTATTAGCTAGCTAGCTAACCAAGCAAACCAAATGACAGGTTTGATATGATGTAGCTAGCGAGCTTTCAATGCGACGTAGCTAGCGAGCTTTCAATGTGACCTGGCCAGCTAAAATTCCTGCTAGCTAGCTTGTTTAAACTCTGATTTGCAAGTTAACTTTGGATAGCTACTTAGCATTCGAGGGCTGACTGTTCTCATAAAAGTTTGTGAAGTGCAAAAATAAATGAAAGATCCAGCTATGGTGGTAATTCGTGAGCAGTATTGCTTGTCCATGTGCTAGCTAACAGCAACAAGCCCAGACGAGCTTGCTGTGGTGTCAGCATCCAGCAGTGATCAGCTGGTGGTTGCATAGTAATGGTGTCACCAGCCCGAATTCTAATCGAGCTCGCACCAGTTGTGGAACTGGTCTGCGCTGGCCCGAGTTTCCCTTGACCCAGCTCGATTTTGAAAATGTCATTCGAGCCAGCTCGAATTTGACCCTAATTTGGCCCTAATTTTAAGTGCCAGTGGAAATGGGACTTTAAAAATAGCACCTTATGACTTCTTGCCTGGGTTTGTTTACATAATATCTTGCCTGGGTTTGTTTACATAATGTCTTGCCTGGGTTTGTTTTGTCGCCCCGACATTTTGATATTTCATAAACACAAATGAAGTAAATGAGACTTACTGAGTCTGGCTTTAACATTACGGGTGTGTTTGTAAATTCACTCTGGAGTAACAGAGTACGCTCAGGAGTGGGCGCTGGGGATTTGTAAATTCAGAGCAGGTTGATCCAAGCGTTCTGACCTCACAACGGCAACCAAGCATCCAAACTAACTGGCTAAAGTTGGCTAGCTTGCTACTAGCTACTTCCAGACACAAATGAGAGAACACTTCACTCTGAACATTTTACTCGCCCTAGCAGAGCTGGTTAGATTGTTTTCATGTTATCAAGAGAGTTAGTGAATGTAAATATGTTATGGCAACAATTTAATAAAACATTTTTGCCGATGTTTAGGCCTACTTACACCTGTCATAACAACCGAGTTTAGGGGCGTTCATAAATTATTTTATTATTCTGTGCTCTGGCACTGTCAAACCAGAGTGCTCTGAAATTGGAGTAGATTAGGCCTACCAGTGTGAGTTTATGAATGCTGATTTTACTTACAAAATGTCTGATATATCACATGCATAAATATCAGAAATATGTTATCAACCAGAATTATTATCAACCTAAAATATTGTCATATCATTATAAATAGCCTATACTTTATAGGGGTTTAATACCAATGTTCTGTAGCCTATAAATAGCCTCCAAAATATATGCAAACAGACCTTAACAATTGTTACAATTCCGAGCTATTAATTAAACTAAAAGAAAAACATAAATGTAAAAGTTTTGGAAACGTTTTGAAAATGCTGGACTGCAAAGACGAGAGAGGATTTTGTTTTCATTTACAGCCACATAGAATGCATAACAAAGCATAAAAGTCGTTCAGTATCTTGTGCGAATCCACAGAAAATATGTGGGTAGTGTGAGCTTCACATAGCCCTCGCGACCAAGCGCTTTGCTCTCCCAAAACTAAAAGCAAGTGCGCGCCTCACATCCCACCTCGTTATAACTATCTCTCCATCAATAACTCCTCCCCGAAACGGGGTTCCGTTCTGATTTTGCTAATGAAATGGGCTTGATAGGGAAGTGGGATAGAGACACTGAGACAGCGCGAGGGAGGGGGTCACGGGTGGATGGTAAATGCCGCTCTAACAGGTACGAGCCAATTACGCTATCAGAACGGAATTATGTAGTTCCGCCTCAGCAACGGTTCCTAACGTTTCATATTTAAACTTGACTGACATGGTCGTAGTGAGGAGTAAGTATATAAGAGGGAGGGAGACTTGTGCTTAAGCCACTATCAAGTCCTCCCTGCATAATGTGGATCTAGTGAGGTAAACCAAGCGGACGTTACATTTTATGCACCGGTTTATAGCAGTTATTCCGTTTTCATTCCACTATTCATACTTATTAGAATAATATATATTGTTATTACCTCCTTTTTCATTGGATATCTAACAGATTTTTTCAAAGGGGGATTTGCACTTTCACCAGGTAAGTTGCTGCATTCAAGTTTACTGCTAGTCAGAATCATTTAGTCAAAGAATGCAGCAAACCTATATTCTGTTATTTGATTAATTCGTTTTGAAAAACATAATGCATTTGAATAAATTGTTTTAGAAGTAGTGTATTCTCTTTTCCCAATAGCCTATATAGTACATATACTGTATGTGCACGTTGTAAGGTGCTTAATTCGTGTATCTTCCTAGAGAAATCTGTGTTCGTTTTGGCTTTACAGCGTTGCTATTGTTGAAGCAGATCTGTGGATTCTTCATTAAGGGATGCACTTGTAATGGAATGACTGAGAACTTCAGTATTCACAGTTGCAATGAACTTGTTGTCACTTTGTGACAGCAGAGCAGAGGGTGAATAAAAAAGAGATAGCCTGTAATGGCTAGGCAACTTTACTTATGAGAAGTAAAGTAAAGTTTCATCAACTTTATTTTACTTACTATTACATTGTCATTACAATAGTGATAAAGTTAACAACTTAAAATGTGCTGTTACCTCTGATGATAATCAACATTGGTGTCTCTTGTGTTTTGAAGGAGATATGATACTCAGGAGAAGTCTCAACTTGATGCCCATTTTATTACTTTGCTCCTCAGCACTACCTCAAGGTAAATCTACTGATGCATAAAGTTTATGTGCCTTTTCATCATTATCATAACCACTATTCCATTACATTTTTATTGCTAAATAAGTCTGATGTTTGTGTGGCTTGCGCAGATGCTGTAGGTTTTAGATGTAAAAAGCATTAAGCATGAGTGAATATGATGCTGTCACTTTTGCTTGTGCATAAAAGCATACCCAGTTAGGCAATAGCCAGGGCTCTCCAACCCTGTTATTGGAGAGGTACTGTCCTGTAGGTTTTTTTAGTTACAACTCTAATCTAGCACACCTGATTCTAATAATTTACTGGTTGATAAATTAAATCGGGTTAGTTACAACTGGGGTTAGAGCGAAAACCTACAGGAGGGTAGCTCTCCAGGAACAGGGTTGGAGAGCCCTGCTATAGACCTAGCTAAAATCACTTGGTCAGATTTTTGTAAAGAATGCCATGCTGTTTCATCAAGCTAATTGGCTGTACACGTTCTCCTCTCCTTACCTATCCCCTGTATGACTCATGGAAGATGGCGAGGTTACTATGGATGACGACACAACGTTTGACCTGTTTGATATTAGCGGTATCACACGCAAGACTCTGGGCGCCAAGCAATTCCGTGGTCAAGACACCGACAACCCCGCTTACCGCTTCATCCGCTTCGACCATTTGCCCTCTGTGAGCGCGCCCGTGCTCAAACAGATGCTTCAGCAAATCCAGAACAATGAGGGCTTCGTGTTCGTGGCCAGCATGCGCCAGGACCGTGGCTCGCGGGGAACCCTCATCGCCTTGGAAGGCACCAACGGCCAACGGCAGTTTGAAATAGTCTCCAACGGTCGCGCCAACACGCTGGACCTTGTCTACTGGGTGGACGGCTCTCAAAATGTTGTCTCCTTCGAGGATGTTGACCTGTCTGACTCGCAGTGGAAGAATATCACACTTCATGTTCATGGCGAAAATGCAAATCTGTTTGTGGGCTGCAGTCTCATCGACAGCTTCATCTTGGACGAGCCATTCTACGAGCACCTGCAGGCAGAGGAGAGCCGAATGTTCGTCGCCAAGGGATCCATCCGCGAAAACCACTTTAGGGTAAGAATTTGTCCTATGGAATAGACCACTGTATTATGCTGTTCAACTCAAGCTTGGTTCCCAGTCGTTCCCAGTAGTAAAAAAAAAAAAACGTTTAGACTGTATTTTTATAAGGGAGAAACTTTCCTTCTACACTTTATTACTTGTGTGGTCTTCAGTAGGGTGTGCCTTTGTTAAAAATAAAAACCCGACTACACCATGTCCAAAGTCCTAACCTACTCTTAGTCTTAGTCATAATAAAAGTTTAAGAAGTTAATAAACCATATAGCATTACAAAGAAGTGAACCATGTAATTATGAGAGAATATTTGTATTGACAGATTACACAGACCTTTATGGTTTTACCTGAGCCTGTCATTTTTTACATCTAGGCGCACTTCACACTACAGGTCTCCAGACAATGTAGAAAACCAATGGTCCTCCCTCTGAGGAGGGTTCAACAGTTCAACAAGGACCTACTGGAAATGTGGCATGAAGTGCATCCAAAATGGCACTCAATTTTTTGTCCAGAAAAGTAGTGCACTAGATATAGGGAATAGGATTCCATTTCAGATCTATCCCCTTGAGTCATGATGATGAGTCTAATGTTAGCCGTTAAGAGTAACTCATTTGGTATTCATTTACCTTGACATAGTAGCTCAAGGTAAGCGAATACCAAAGAAGTTGTTCCTAGCTGCTAGTCTAATGTGACACAACTGTCCTAGTAGTCATTGATCAGTCTCTTGTCTTGTCACACAGGGGTTACTGCAGAATGTTCGCTTCATGTTCGACACATCCGTGGATGATGTTCTCAGGAATAAAGGCTGTGAAGTCACTAAGCCAGGTAAGGGATTTTGGCTAACGTTACTGGACTGGTCGTGTTCATTAGACACCAAATGAAAAAAATTAAAGTTTGAAACAGGGACTACCTGGACTTGTCCAATGAGAAAGGCTAATTTTTGTTTGCCATTGCAAAAAGATTTAGAATGTTTTCCGTTGCGTGCCCTAAGAACATGCCCCTGTAGTTTGGATAGACTGAATCCTACCAATTTGGGTCGATATGATATGTAAATATATTTCAAGGACATAATCTCGAAGACCGTCTGAAATCGTGCTGTATTGTGTTACTGCAATTGTCCTTTAGGCTGCGTTTACACAGAAATCCCAATTCTGATCCTTTGCCCAATTATGGGCAAAAGAGCTGATCTGATTGGTCAAAAGACCAATTAGTGGAAAAATATCAGAATTGGGCTGCCTGTATAAACGCAGCCTAGGTAACCTTTTCCCAAACCGGTTTGTGCTGTACAGCAAACTGTTATGGTCCTTGTCATCCCAAGTTTGTCACGACAATGACCATAGAAATGGCCAAGACAGCACAAACAGATCTGGGACTGACTGAAGCTAGTACTTTTTGGGTTTCTGTTGTATAGTTTTTTCATGCTCTGAATATTCTGATGATGCGACTTTAACTCGTCCTTCCTGAACTGCTCTGATCTCCGTTAAACTCCCCAATAAAGCCCCATTCAATGCAGATGTGACTGAACGATCCATCCTTCTGCCTCACATGTTGCATCCCAAATGGCACCCTATTCCCTATAGTGCACTACATTAGTAAAAAGTAGTGCACTACATAGGGAATAGGGTGCCATTTGAGATGCACCCACAGTCACATGCAACCTCTTACAGCGTTGGTCTTCTGTGTTTCATTTAGATAAAACCGTAACAAATTTCCCCAACAAAGTCCAACCACTTAAAAAGATGGAGTTCTTCCTTATTTCCATTGTGTCTGGTTCTGCTATTCTATCACTTTTTTCGGTCTTTAGTTTTAGTGGGTCACGGAAAGCTTGCAGATCTGATATGTGGCGATATCTGACAGTATTACATCATGTTAGCGGAAACAGCCGTTTCAGTGTGGTTGCTTTAAGTCAACCAATGTGTGTGTGTTTGTGTGTGTGTGCTGCGGTCGTCAAGACAAAAGGAGATACTGTACAGATGCTAACATTTATTTCCATTGGCAGTGGAAGAAATACCTGGGGAAGAAAAATAGAGAAAGTTAAATGCTATGCTGGAAGGAAATAAGGGAGTCACCACCACTTTTCCTTGCATGTACACACACACACACACACACACACACAAACACACACACACACACACACACACACACACACACACACACACACACACACACACACATAGTGAGGTCATGAATTGGCTGATGGGGTAGTAGCCTCTCTGCTGCTTTTGTTCACACTGGGCGTGGGGCCCTGTAATCCTCAGTAGGGGCTTCTGAGAAGGTCCAGAAACCCCAGGGTGTGTGGGTGTGATGTGAGTGTGTGTGGGTGTGTGTGTGTGTGTGTGTGTGTGTGTGTGTGTGTGTGTGTGCTCGCGTGCATGCCTGAATGTGTGTGGGTGTCTGTGTATGTGTGGCTTGTAGCTCCATTGTTGGCACAAGTGCCTTTCGATTCTACCTGAATGAGCAGATTTGATGTTATGTCACAGAGACTTCCCAGTGAGTCACTGGAAAAAGTCTAGATGCTCTTACCAGCCAAGGTCTTACCCTGGCATCAGATATATCTAACGCTAGCTCAAAAGTCACTCATAAGATCACACAAAACTGCCACGTTGTACAATTAATGGGAAGCAGTTGAAATATCTTGTGTTTCTTCCCCTCTATCTCAGTCAAAAAGAGGAGAGGAAAGAAGGGAAAGAGGATGATAAAGGAGTCGTGAACCAACCAGAATAACTCATCAACAGACATGTCCTAAAGGCACGCACACACACACATTCACACACACACACACACACACACACACACACACACACACACACACACACACACACACACACACACACACACACACACACACACACACACACACACAGTCACACAGTCATACACACACACACACAATCACAAACACACACACACGCACACACACACACACATAGCAACAGATTAAAACACACTTGGGAGATTCTTCTGGTTAAACGGGGCCAGCGTGACTTGGACCTAGCCTGATTTAGAGTCCCTAACCATTAGAGTCCCTAACCACCCATTAATCTCTGCTCAACTACTACACATGGCACACACACACAAGCATGAATGCACACACACACACACAACACACTCTTGGCTGGATACACTGCGTTCCTCAGGCCTTTCCTCACCAGGAACCCCAGTCTGAGACACTGCTTTGGGCTAACTAATCTATCTGATGTTCTATCTATCATTTATTTATGCATTTATCACAGTTAAAATAAATAAAAAGCAGTACAATATACTATTAAACAGATGTACAGTTGAAGTCGGAAGTTTACTTACAATTAGGTTGGAGTCATTAAAACTTGTTTTTCAACCACTCCACTAATTTCTTGTTAACAAACTATAGTTTTGGCAAGTCGGTTAGGACATCTACTTTGTGCATGACACAAGTAATTTTTCCAACAATTGTTTACAGACAGATTATTTAACTTATAATTCACTGTATCACAATTCCAGTGGGTCAGAAGTTTACATACACTAAGTTGACGGTGCCTTTAAACAGCTCGGAAAATTCCAGGAAATTATGTAATGGCTTTAGAAGCTTCTGATTGGCTAATTGACACCATCTGAGTCAATTGGAGGTGTACCTGTGGATGTATTTCAAGGCCTACCTTCAAACTCAGTGCCCCTTTGCTTGACATCATGGGAAAATCAGCCAAGACCTCAGAAAAGAAATGGTAGACCTCCACAAGTCTGGTTCATCCTTGGGAGCAATTTCCAAATGCCTGAAGGTATCACGTTCATCTGTACAAACAATAGTACGCAAGTATAAACACCATGGGACCACTCAGCCGTCATACCGCTCAGGAAGGAGACGCGTTCTGTCTCCTAGAGATGAACGTACTTTGGTGCGAAAAGTGCAAATAAATCCCAGAACAACAGCAAAGGACCTTGTGAAGATGCTGGAGGAAACAGGTACAAAAGTATCTATATCCACAGTAAAGCGAGTCCTATATCGACATAACCTGAAAGGCCGCTCAGCAAGGAAGAAGCCATTGCTCCAAAACAGCCATAAAAAAGCCAGACTACGGTTTGCAACTGCACATGGGGACAAATATCGTACTTTTTGGAGAAATGTTCTCTGGTCTGATTAAACAAAAAATTAACTGTTTGGCCATAATGACCATCGTTATGTTTGGAGGAAAAAGGGGAAGGCTTGCAAGCCGAAGACCACCATCCCAACCGTGAAGCACGGGGGTGGCAGCATCATGCTGTGGTGGTGCTTGGCTGCAGGAGGGACTGGTGCACTTCACAAAATAGATGGCATCATGAGGAAGGAAAATTATGTGGATATATTGAAGCAACATCTCAAGACATCAGTCAGGAAGTTAAAGCTTGGTCGCAAATGGGTCTACCAAATACTAATTCAGTGTATGTAAACTTCTGACCCACTGGGAATGTGATGAAAGAAATAAAAGCTGAAATAAATCATTCTCTCTACTATTATTCTGACATTTCACATTCCTATTCACATTTGGCTAAGGTGTATGTAAACTTCCGGCTTCAACTCTATGTTATATCTGTGGACAGTTTATCATGTTGTAGACCACGTAATAGTCTGTCAAACACTTGTAGTGAGACCTCTGGGATCTATGAAAACCACAGAATTATGAGCGAGACAATGTGGATCATAGAATAAATAAATATTGCTTAGTGATTGTAAACTGTAGGGACTGTTGAGGCAATGGGTATAGCAAAAGCATTATAATAATAATATATAATATGCCATTTAGCAGATGCTTTTATCCAAAGCGACTTACAGTCATGTGTGCATACATTTTTACGTATGTGTGGTCCAGGGCGTAGCTAGTAACTAGCTAGCTCTGGTCCGCACTAACTCTGGTCTAGCTCTGGTCCGCAATTATCTTTCACTATGATACAAACAAAGCATCCAACAGATACAGGGGAAAATCCTAACCTGGACACAGATCTGTTTGTGCTGTCCTGCCAACTCCTATGGTCATTTCGGCCTATCGTTGGGATTTCAACAAACAAACACACACACACACAGGGCGAGGGCGGCAGCTCGCTAACAGCCCCCCAGGTGGAGAGAGACATGGATAAACAGACACTTCCCCTCTTGTCAAAAGCCAATTTCTCTCTCTCTCTCTCTCTCTCTCTCTCTCTCTCTCTCTCTCTCTCTCTCTCTTAGTTACTAGCTACGCCCTGGACCAGAGCTAGCGCTGACCAGAGCTAGACCAGAGTTATTGTGGACCAGAGCTAGCTAGCTACACCCTGGACCAGAGCTATTGCGGACCAGAGCTAGACCAGAGTTAGTGCGGACCAGAGCTAGCTAGTTACTAGCTACGCCCTGGACCAGCGCTAGTGCGGACCAGAGCGACTAGCTATGCCCTGGACCAGAGGTAGTGACAGATTATAGCTCTAGTCCAGGGCATTACTGCGCTGCATGCGGACATACCAACTGAGATGCAAAATACCATCTGTGACACACGCGCATGAACTTTGATATTCGCCGACCAGGCGGTCTCAGCGCGCATAATCTGCAGCTGGATGCTTCTTCTCCAGGCAGGCTCAATTAAACAAACGCTCAAAGTATTTG